AAAACAGGAGGATCTCCTACATCTATAAACAAATGTGTTGATGGCAGCGGGACAGCTGATATATATGTAAGCAGATGTTTAAATTGTTTAGATTCCTTGTATGATGTCATCACGGCAGATACTGTATTATAACACAAAGAAAAAAATCCCTGCTAAATAAATTTGAAAATCAGATAGGTGATGAGTAGCTAAAAGTCATATATAAAATAAGACAGATTAATCATACAATCTGGGTTTTCACCTTAATGAAAAAACAGGGCACCATGGCAACACAGTCAGCCTCAACACCAGTCTCTTTCCATCTTGATTTCTATTAACAATGTGCTATTTGCGATCATCTAGTTTTTCTAGATGGATAAACACTTACTAACAATGAACAAAAATAATCATGACAATTGCCTGGTTTAGTTTGGGCTCTTTGATTAAATTAATCGCGCTTGCGCAGTAGAAAAGCCGCGTGTTGGTATGAAACCATGGTAACCAACCTGGCACAGACTTTGCAAAGCTAACGGTGCATTTACAACTCTCCTTTTTGACATCCGGGAACGGATCGACGATGGTTCTCTTGAGGATGTTGATCATTTCGTTGAGATAAGGCGCTAAATGTCTGCCGCACACCTCCACCGTAAGAGCCAACATCTCCACGGCCAACAGTCGAATCTCCTCCGATGGCTCCAAGATCTCTTTGTCCCCGAACCGCTGAGCCAGGCAGGGCATCAGATAGGGCAACGCTTCCTCCGGTTTGGGGACACAGCGAATAAAGTCTGTTATGATAGCGATGGTTGTTTCTCTGCAGTTCTCCATCGGGTCCGATAGACACTTGAGAAGAGGTTTGAGAAGGGACGAAAATACTTCCTGTAAAACATCGCTGGGGAGTCCTTTACTCACAGTCTGGTTCTTTATCGACTCAAGAGCCCTCTTTCGTGTTAACTTATTTTCAACGTTTAGGCATTTTAAGTGTCAGCTGATACCTTTCAAAACCTCAGAGGCTGCATGCTCGTCTACAGTCGCTGCCATTTTGACAGTCGCTATGACAACTGGTGGCTTCACGACAAACAAACGGCTGCTTTACGATACCTGTGTATTCAAA